GCTCTTCCGATCTCCCCAAAACCCCAAAACCCCATGATACATTAATATTTATTAGAATAAGAGTAAGGATAATTAAAATAATTGTTCTTTCTTATTAACCAATTCATTAAGATAACTTTACTGTGTATTTATTTTGATTTTTCACAGTTATCTGAAGATATGCTGATTCTACTGGATTAATTTTAGATTAGATTCATCGATTACAGACTCAGCAAAATCTTCCCTGCCAGTCAATTTCTAGTCAAAATACTTCAAATCATCGCCTATTTCGGGATAGTATGGGGGCTAAATCTACTTATTCATGATCTTTTCAATGTCCACTCCTTGAAAGAAAGGATGTGCTAAGATTTCACTTACATCCCCTTGTGACCCCAGTCTCTTTTTTCTATTCTTGTCAAGCAGCTTCTTAATCAGATCCTTAGCAACTGGTGATACTTCAATCCCATGCTTGATTGGATCTGGGAAATTGACCTAACTTTCTTTGATCAAGAAATACATTCTATGCTTATTTCTATGGAAAAATGGTGGAATACCTACCATCATCTCATACAATAGAATACCTAGAGCCCACCAATCGACAGTGTGATCATGGCCTGACCCAATGAGCATTTCAGGGGCTAGATATTCAGCTGTTCCACAGAAAGAGTTAGCTAGTTCATTTTTAGTTACAAGCTTTGCTAAGCCGAAGTCTGCTAAGAAAAGATAGCCATCATCTCCGAATAATATATTTTCTGGTTTTAAATCTCTATATAGAATGTTCTTTGAGTGTAAATGTCCTAGTGCGATAGCTATTTAAACTATAAAAAATCTAGCCTGTTCTTCATTAAACCTCTTAACTTTAACCAAATGCCTAAATAACTCTCCTCCTCTATTAAGTTAAAATTAAACAAAGCTTACTTAATGAAATTCATGATGAAATATATACGGAAGTCGTTTTGAAACACATAATCCATTCCGACAATAAATGGATGCTCAATATTGTACAAAATATCTTTTTCCAATTTAATGTTGTCAAATTATTCATTATCAATGATAACATCTTTCCTAATACATTTCATTGCGTAAATCTTTTGAGTGTGTTAATTCTGAACAAGGAAAACTTTGCCAAAGGTACCTTTACCAACCATCTTCTTAATCACAAAATCTTGCAACTTAACTGAGTCTTGTTTCTTGGTAAAGATTAATTTGCCTCCAGCTCTCATTGTCTATAGGGAATAAAGTTTGAAATAATAATACAGCTCTGGCACTGCTATCTTAGTTAGGAGTATCATATTCATCTGGTTCTTCATCATCATCTTCAGTCTCTTCAAAGTTCTTTGACTCTTAGAATTATTGACTTCTCAGCTAAGCGATTCCATGATAATCATCAAGCACAGTAAAACTATTATCTATAATTTCCTGCTTCCCAAGCTAAGTATCACTCTCTCTTAGAATATCCTCAGTCTTAATCCTGAACTAGATGGGCGGAAATCTGTTTTAACCTCTTTTGGCATCCTTTTCAGTTGTAGTAAACTCTTTTAAGTTGGGTCTTTCAATGCCAAAAATTGGGAGATTGAGAGATAGTTTTTCTAAGAATCTGTTCTTAAGTATCTCTATAATTTCCTCGCGTCTACAATCAAATTTTCAAAATAATGGTAAAAATTACCTATCAGTGAAAAACCTATAGTCATACTCAGAAGGTACATGAATAGTAAATTCCCCTCTACCTGGCTAGACAGTCTTTGACACTCCTCCAATTTTCACGATCTAGTTGAGCTCAATAAGACACAATGAAATTTACAGCAATTTTTCTCTTGATTTTATTCTTTTTGATATTATACAGATGCTCGGTTGTAATAACGAGCATTCTTTCCTACACCCAGTCAAACATGTTGATCTTCTTAATTTTATCTGAGAAAAGCAACTACTCTATTAAAATATTACGAATATTTTGTATAAATACCAGTTCCAAACAATACCATTATCTTAGGCTACTATTTCACAGCAAGATAATCTTTTGCGACTACTAATGTCTCTCTGTGAGGTTGTTTCTGCTATTAGTAAGTCATTTAATGACCAGGAATGGGCTGATGCATCTAGAATCCGTCTTAGTTTTCTTACTTTTTATCATACATTGACTATGCAACCGTTCTTTAGCTATTTAAAAGTATAAATCATTATATTTTAAGTGAAAATCATACTTGCTCGTGGACTCTACCATTATAAAGTTTTTAATATAATATAATTTATCTTTATTATTAATTTTAATTCAAAAGATATAAATCAAGCCTTTCGGGGTTTTGGGGTTTTGGGGTTTTGGGG